TAAATTTAGAAAACCTAGCTCTTTAATTCGATTATTATTTTAAATTTTATATATAATTTTATTAGCACATTTCAAAAAGATAGAAAACCTAGCTCTTTAATTCGATTATTACTTTAAATTTTATATATAATTTTATTAGCACATTTCAAAAAGAAATTATGAAAAAATTGATAAACTAAATTTAAAATAAATAAGGAAACAAAAAGATAGCAAGAATTAAATGAATAAATAAATAAGAATAGCTTAAATTTAAAAAATAAAAATAATTATTATCTATTTGCTGGCTTGCTAATTTATTTATTTATTTATTCAATTATTTTAAAATTTGAAAATATAAAATAAATCTTCATACTCTAAATAAATAAGAACAGTTGAAAGTCTGTTTAATTTTGATAATGCAGAACCTAAGCCATTTATGTTTTTTTCACTGATGTCATTATCTCCACTTTGATAAAAGCAAATAAATTATAAAATAGTAAAAATTTAAAAAATGTAAATTTTAGATAGAAAGGAAATTAACCAAATTAAAAATAAAATAGTTAACTGACTAACTAACTAAATAATTTAGGAATAAATAAGATTAATCATTTTAAAAAATATTTTTACTTAAAAAAAAGTTCTAAGCTTTAGAGGTTGCTACAGTTTTATAGTGCTTGACCTAAGCTAGATATTTCATCCCCAATTTAATTTTCGCTATATAATTTTTGTTTAAATTTTAATGATAAAAGTAAGGAAATAGATTAATCATATATTAAAATATATTTATTTAACTTTTTAAATTATTCAAAAATAAAATTTGATGTGATTATTTTTTAAAAACCATTTTTTAATAAAAATTTAAATAACTTAAATTATTAAATGAATGATAATAAATTTATTTACCTAATTCTAAAAGTAAATTTTGAGAGATTTAAGCACTTTGCTAAAGAAGAACCTAGACCAGATAAACATTTTTCGCCAATAAAATTAGAGCTTTTAATAAAATTTATGAGTTAATATAAAGAAATTTCCTAATTTACAAGTTAAAAAATATTAATTTCAATTTTTAGGATGAAATTAATTAATATAAAAAAAAATAAAGTTTTTATTTCATTATTAATAAATAATAATTAAAATCAAAATCTTTATTATATATATTTATATTTACTCAAAATCAAGATTCAGACTCTTGAGATTAGTACAACTAGATAAAGCACAAAATATTGTTAATGCACTTTCGTCATTTAAATTATTTTTCCTTAATAAAAAATAGATGTAATAATTAGAAGAAAATGCATGACTAATAAGATGAAAAATAAGTTAATTTATGAAAAATATTTCAAGTTATGATAAATACCGTCTTAACTTACATCAATACAAATTTCTTTAAAAAATTTTTTTATTTATTCAAAATAAACTAACTACCTTACCAAATATTATATTAATTATTTATTTATTATCATAAACAAATTTTTTTATGGTATATTATTTTAATTGAGCGTTATTAAAAAAGATTGAAGGTATTACCTCAAACTAATATTCAAAGTTTGAATATTGATACACTTTTATAAAGCAGAACTGAAATACGAGAGAGATTCTCCATTAATTTTTGAATCACTTATTTAACGTTATAAATAAATAATTATACAAAATAAAATAAATAAATTAAAATTTATCTAAAAAAAAGAATATTCATTTATTTTAAAATTAAATGAAGAAATATTATTTTTACTCTAATTCAAGAGATAAATTTTATAGATTAGAGCAATTAGCTATAGCAGAGGCTAAAGGTGATGCAGTTTATTCAAAAATTTCAATGCCACTTTTATAAGATAAAACAAATATATTTATAATTTGAAAAGTGAAAAAATAAATAGTTGAAATAACTTCTAAAAGTTTTAAGTATTTAAAAATATATGCATTTTACTTAGTAGCAAGAGCTAAACTTTAAATTTTAACACATTTACCTAAAGCAGAAGCTAAATCTTCTGCAGTTTATTCATTAATATAAGTGTCATAACTATATTTAATTAAAGAATTTGTTAAATTAAGAAAATAAAATAAAAAAGACAAAAATTAAAAATAAAAATTTAGTTTAAATTTATTAAATTCATTTAAAAAGCGAATATATAAAAAAATATATAATTGATTATAAATTATTAAATGGTTGATTATCTATAAAAATAATCAAAATAAAATAAAAAATTTTAATTATTAGTTATAAATATCTAATAATATTTTTAAAAAGTAACTTTAATCTTAATGGCAAATAAAAGAAAGAAAGACATATTAAGAAAAAGAATTATTTAATATTTATAATTATTAAATAAATGAATAATTAAGTAAAATGCTTAAGCTTAAAAATAAAATAAAATAGATAAGTAAAAAATATGTTTTTTTTAATTTTTTACAGATTTAAAAATAATTAAAAAATAATAAAAAAATGAATGAAAAAATTTTACTCAAAATCTAGTCTCAAAGTTGTGAGATTTTTACATTTTGCTAAAGCATTTGTATAAATTGATATATCATCATTTCTGTTATTAGATAATTTATTATTAAAATATGAGAAAATAAATTTAAAATAAAACAAATTTGATGACTAAATTATCTATTGAGGTATTTAATATTCAATTAAATAGTTTTTATAAATAAGTGAATTGATAAATTTTTACTCTATGAACATTTCGATATCAGTTATTAAATCTAGATTTGAATCTATAATCTATATTAAAAAAAGAAATTTAGGAGATAAATAATAAGATAATAATCAATTACATCCTCTTCACTCTCAAAGTATTTTTTATTTTTCATCATCATTTTTTTTTGAAAAATTCAATTATCAATTTTATGAAATATTAATTTATTATAAACTTTCTTTCTTTTTTGTTAAATTTAAAGAGAAATTTGAAGGTCAAATAATTAAAAGATTAAAAGACCATATTAATTAAAAGCTAATAATAAATTATTCCAATTTATTGATTCTCACTAAAATTATCAATAAATCACAAAATTTGCTCAAAAAATATTCAAGGAATTATGTGTTTGATATGAATTATTTCATAATTTCATATATAGAAGAATATGTCAATTTTGGGCTCTATTTATTAAGAAAATCTAACTAAAATATAATTTAAAATATAATAAATCATCAAATTTAAAATAAGTGAATATATAAAAAATCTTATTTTTTAAAATTTCCAGTTTTTCTTCACAAAGAGTTATCTAAAAAGAAATCATTCATTTAATTTATTAAAATATTATATCTGTAAATTTGCTTTGCATCTATGAAAAAAAATTTTAAGGAAAGCAGTTATGAATTTTTTGTTATATTTTTCATATTGGTGGGCATAGATAACCAAATAAATAAAAGTTAAATAAAATAAATAATCTGTTTGAATAAAGATTTAAATACAGATAATTCAAAATAAGATAGCATCATTACCTAAGAGTATAAGAGAGGTAATTAAAAAAAATGAGAAATGTATAGCAAATAATTATATTAGTTGGTTTCATGGTTTATATGTTAGCATTTTTTTCATATTAATTTTAATCAAATATAATATTTTTTATACATAAAATAAATAAATATTTAATAAAAATCCATTTTTAAATTTTCACATAGTAAAAAAGTTTATTTTTTAAAATAAATAAAAAAATCCCTAAAATTAAAAAAATGATTAAAAAGTAAATAAAAAATTTAATAATAGGTATGCGAGATAATACATATTAAATAAATTTTTTTATAAATAATTAAAAATGAAAGAAATAAGATAAGAAGTAAAGAAAAGCAAAAAATGAAATTGAAAGAATAGGTATTTTATTTTAATTAACTGAACACACAATAATACTTCTCAATCAAATCAGCATACATATATAATATAAAGGTTAAGAGCTTTACAATATTGAGCTAACAATCAATCAGTATTATAATAAATCTGTTTTTTTTGAATGAGTATAATTCAAACATAAAAAATCAGAAAAGGAATGAAATTAAAAATAAAACTGAGCTCAAAATTATCATTGAGTTTGTTGAAGAAGAAGGAGCTGTTGCTTAGCAACTAGATTTATCAGCCTTAGCATATTAGCTGCTACTTCCATTACATGCAAGGCAATCAGCATTAGTCCATGTATTAGCAGTTCTATTAGCACTACAAGTTGCAGTTGCAGCAACACAACCAGTTAAAGCAGTATTAGCATAGACAGCTGTAACTCTACCGACGGTAGTACCAGGGCAAGATTGGCAGAAGAGATCAGAAGCACCAGTAAGTCCTGATGAAGTATTTGCAGGACAGCTATTTATAGCACATTTTCCAGTAACAACACCATTCTACCAGTTCAAACCAGCAGGAGCAGTAGGAGGATTTGGGCAAGTTCCAGAAGTTGTGCATGTTGCAGCAGAGCAAGTAACATCAGCACCAGCAGCAATAGATACAGGACTTGCTTAGCAACCAGATCTATCAGCCTTAGCATATTAGCTGCTACTTCCATTACAGGCAAGGCAATCTGAGTTTGTCCAAGTGTTATCAGCTCTAGTAGCACCACAAGTTTAAATTGCAGCAACACAACCAGTTAATGCAGTATTAGCATAGATAGCTTTAACACCATCTACAGTAGTACCAGGACAAGATTGGCAGAAGAGATCAGAAGCACCAGTAAGTCCTGATGAAGTATTTGCAGGACAGCTATTAATAGCACATTTTCCAGTATCTTCACCATTCTACCAGGTCAAACCAGCAGGAGCAGTTGGAGGATTTGGGCAAGTTCCAGAAGTTGTGCATGTTGCAGCAGAGCAAGTAACATCAGCACCAGCAGCAGTAGATACAGGACTTGCTTAGCAACCAGATTTATCAGCCTTAGCATATTAGCTACTACTTCCATTACAGGCAAGGCAATCTGAGTTTGTCCAAGTGTTTTCAGCTCTAGTAGCACCACAAGTTTCAATTGCAGCAACACAACCAGTTAATGCAGTATTAGCATAGATAGCTTTAACACCATCTACAGTAGTACCAGGACAAGATTGGCAGAAGAGATCAGAAGCACCAGTAAGTCCTGATGAAGTATTTGCAGGACAGCTATTAATAGCACATTTTCCAGTATCTCCACCATTCTACCAGGTCAAGCTACCCGGAACAGTTGGAGGATTTGGGCAAGTTCCAGAAGTTGTGCATGTTGTATCAGAGCAAGTAACATCAGCACCAGCAGCAGTAGATACAGGACTTGCTTAGCAACCAGATTTATCAGCCTTAGCATATTAGCTACTACTTCCATTACAGGCAAGGCAATCTGAGTTTGTCCAAGTGTTTTCAGCTCTAGTAGCACCACAAGTTTCAATTGCAGCAACACAACCAGTTAATGCAGTATTAGCATAGATAGCTTTAACACCATCTACAGTAGTACCAGGACAAGATTGGCAGAAGAGATCAGAAGCACCAGTAAGTCCTGATTAAGTATTTGCAGGACAGCTATTAATAGCACATTTTCCAGTATCTCCACCATTCTACCAGGTCAAGCTACCCGGAACAGTTGGAGGATTTGGGCAAGTTCCAGAAGTTGTACATGTTACAGCAGAGCAAGTAACATCAACACCAGGTGTAGCGAATATTTAGTATACTAAAAGTGAGGCTATAAATAACTTTAAAATAGTCATTTTAATTAAATTTTTGTTTGATTTATTTTCTTTGTTAATTAATTAATTATTATGAAAAGAGGTTGTTTGATTTAGGTATTTATAAAGAAGGTTATAGACAATATAATTTCTTCATTTATTTTTTTTGTTCTAAAATATAATAAAATCTAATAAAGTTTGTAAAAATGCATTATTGTGTGTATATACTTTAATTAATTTATTTGAAGAAAGCAGTTATAATGAGAATTCTAAATTATAAATAATTAATGGATAAAATAAATAAAGGGTTAATTTATATTTTAAAATTGTAAGAAAGATTTTATAAGATAAGTAGAAATGTAAACTTTTAGTTTGAAAATAAATTTAAAAACTTATTTTATAAATAATATTTTTTAAAAGAAAACAAAGAGGATTTTTTATAGTAATATTGACTAAGTATTAAATAAAAAAATATCTTAAGCTTGTTATGCCAAAAAAAAAAGAGAGTTGATTGAGTATATCAGTTATTAGCTCTTAGAATCTAAATAAATTTACTAACATGATACCTTACACTATCAAACTTTAATAAAATATCTTTCCGTATCTATTACATTATTTTTTTAATAACTATCAAAGTCAATTTACAAAGAAGTCTCTTTTAGCTGAGAATCACTCACTTAATTAAATAAATACATTTAAAATAAGATTAAGAAGGTTGATTTACATTCATATATTTTTGATGATTAAATCAAATTAAGTTGTATAATAAAGATTATGATAATAGTCAAACAAATTTATTATCTAAATATTTTTTTTTTTATTGATTTTTTTCAAAATATAAACACTAACAAGTAATGAAATGAAGTAGTGAGAGAATCTAGCTATATGTCTAGTTAAATTTAAGGAGAAATAAATTTATAAATGTCATTAACTTAATAAAATAATAGAGTATTAATCTATAAAATATCTTAATGAATATTACAATAAATAAATAAACAAATCAGCTATTACTTTTTTTAAAATTAGTTATATAAATAAATATACTGTTAATATCAATATTGCTATCCATCACATCCCAAAATAATTGGCTTTTGTTAAATGAAATGAAAAAAATGTAAACATTAATCTTTAAAAACCAATTAAGTATTTCAAATAGAGTAATTACACTTGATTTATCAGTGTGTGTTTTTAATTTTGATTAAAAAATATTGTACTAGTTAATCGATATATAGAAAGTCCGTCCTTTGTTTTTACAGAAAAGTCTATAAGTATTAGAGTTATAAAATATTGAAAGTCGTCCAATTTTTTTACAGAAAAATCTATAGAAAATTTAATGGTTTTGCCAATAAAAAAATAAAGTTAAAAATGTCAACAATTAACATTTTTTTCAAAGATTCCAATTGAAATTATGGAAGCTTAAAAAAGATAAATAGAAAAAAAACATTAATAAATTATTGCTTTGCAAATAAAATGGTATTCTAACTAAGTAATAATATTTGAATTTGATTTGCGAATAGCTCATATTAAATCTTACTTGTTTAGTAATATTTGTGTTTATGTATAAAAAATAGCAAAAAATTAATTAACCAAATCATTTTTTAATGTGATTTATAGACTTACACACTGTTCTTTTCAAAAATCCCCACAATTTTTAAATAATTAAATTCTAGTAGTGAGTTTTTTTCAAACATTCATTTTCTAATTTAATAATATTAGATTTAAAAATTTATAGAACTATTAAAATACATGAATTTGCCTTCAAACGTTTAGCTCGAAAGCTATTTTCAAGGAAATTCTAATTAAACATTTTAGAAGACTTACTTACTTAACAAAGAAGACTTACTTACTTAACATAATTAAATCTAATTATTGAACACTTTTTCAGATTGCTATAAAAAATAATGAATAAATAGATGACATACGATGTGCGCGATGCAAAGAAAAGCGATTAATAAATCTTTCATAATAATTTTGTAAATCATTTAAAACCTTTTTAAGATAAATAAATTTAAATAAAAAATATTTTTTTAAAATAGAATTTGTTAAACATTTTTGAATAATAGACGACAAATCTAATGAATAATCTTTACTGAAATTTTAAAAATAAACAAACAAAATAATAGCATAATGTTTTTTTACTAAAATTATATTTAGTTATTAACAATCTAAAATATTTTCTTTTATTTGATTTATTTAATTTTATAATCTAAAAGCTAACTTTTTTAAACTATTTTTGAAGAATTTAGAAAATAAAGCTGTATATTTTTTATCCTTTGTTAATTATTAAAAAAATAAATACTTCTTTACTTTTAATGAAAATTTTTTGACTGCATATCCAAATTAAAAGATGAAAATCTATTTTTGATTGTTAACCCATAAAAATATTTTTTTTATTTAAATTAGAAAAATTCAAAAAAATCAGCTGCCAATAAAATTTTTAAAAGATTAATGGATGTATTTATTTTTTTATTTTAAATATTTGTTACTAATGATGTTCAATAAGCATTTTAATTTCAAAAAGAAAAATATTAACATAAATTTTATGTAAATCAAGAATAATAATATGATTTTATACAATTCAATAATTAAAAATCAACACTTACTTTTAGGAAATTTATTTTAAGTGCGAAAAAAATAAAAACAATTCTTTCATAATTTGATTTAAAAGCAAGTTATAAGCTTTTTATTCTTAATTAATTATAATAATTTTAAAAGCATATTACTTATTTTAATCCTAAATGAATATTTGCTTTCAAAACCATTTTTTTTATTTAAGTTTATTTTTTTGAAATCATTTTCAGTTGTGAATTAAAGTTTTTGTTTGAAAAGTAAGTTTCATTAACATTTTCTTCAAATTCGAAATTACTTAAATAGAAAGCTAGGATTATTGAGAGATACATGTTAATAAAAATTTAAATATCACAAATAAGAAAATATCAGTATACTAAAAATAGATAAGGAGAAAAATCCAAAAGATATCTTTATTAATTTAAAATTAATTCTAGACTATATTATTATCTTAATAAATTGATTCATTTACATTGATTAGAATAGTTATTACTCTCAATCAATTTTTTTGATATTACTATAAAATCAAATTTAGGTAGACCCACAAAAGAAAAATAGTACTAACAGCTACTAGCTGTTTATAACCATTAAAGGATGAAGTAAATAATTTTAAATACAATAGTGGCATATAAAAAAATAATAAATAATAAAAAAGCATATGAATTAAATAAGCAAAATACTATTAATTAATTAAAGTAATAAATATTTTATTTTCATTTTTAAGTACTTTAATTAAAATGTAGATCCAAAGACAAAGCATCTTCTCAAATTTGTAAATAACTATATATGGTATAACTATCTATAAATCATTATATACTTTATGTAATAAGCAGGGACCCAAAAAAAAATACAAAGCAAAACCTCAAATAAAATCACGAGATAATAATTTAATTTGTTATTATTTGTGTATGTAGCCTTGAAAAATCCGTACCCTAGGTTACTATATATATAATAATATTATAAAAATTATTAAGGAAACAAAACCAAATAATTATATATAGAGTAATTAAATTGGCGTCATTTTTTCTTATTTTTTTTCTTCAAGTAATTTACAGTAAAATAAGCTTTTAAAAAATATTTTATTTGCTATTTAACTAATTCAAAAGTAAAATAAATCATTTAAACTTATTTACGTTTTTTATATTAAGATTTGAGGCTTTAAATATTTTTAAAGTGTAAAATTCTATCTTTAGAATTCATTAGATTTTATATAAATTAATAATTTTCCTTCTTGACAAGAAAATCTAATAAAGATAAACAGAAAAAGCGATTGAAAAAGGAAATTAATATTAGGATCATTTTATTGATTGCTATTACTGCTTGAAATCTCTCAAAATATGTTATCATTCTAATAATATAAATAATATCTTTTTGAATTTTTAATCTCAATTTATAAAAACAAGTGAATATCTTTTAATAATAAATAGGCTTTTTATTTGTTTATATTTTATTTTAAAAGTTAAATTTTGATGTTAATTCCCGCTCATGAAAATATTGCTCAGAATTAATTAAAATTTAATATATTTTTAAATTACTTCGGATCACATTACTAAGAAAATCTAAATAAGATAAATAGAAGAATTGGTTGAAAGTGAAATAAGTATATACAATTTTAATAATATAAATAATAAATACCTTTGATTTAATATCTTATTAATATAATAAATAACTATAGTTAAAAAATATATATTTTATTTGCTTTGTTTTGAATTTTATTTTAAAAGTAAAATTTTGATATTAATTAGCGCGCCTATAAATATTATTTAGAATTAATTATAATCTGATATTATTTTATTATAGCTTCAAATAATAATCACTCATGTATAAATAGTTAGATGTACAATATGTGCTTATACTTTTTTCTATTAATGATTTTTATAAAACTAAAAAATAAATTATCCTAATACATTAAGCAAAAAATAATTCTTCATAACCAAATAAACTTGATTAAATTTGTAATTATCGAAATTAAATTATACCAAATATTTTTAGTTGACTGTGTCTAGTTGCAAATTAAAAAAACATTTTGAATATTGTATATTGTTATTGGAATTATCTTTTGTTAAATTTTACTCTATTTTACATAAATTTATCTTGAAATTTTCATATAAAATTTAATTAGATTATGCTATTTTTAGAAAATAATTTAACAAATAAATATTTATTAATAAAATTGCTGATGAGTTTGTTCCTTAAACAGGCATTCATATAATAATAATTCCAAATATTTTTTTTGTGTTTATTTTCTAAAGCAGTTGCTTTTGTTGGTGTTACAGTAAATCTTCCATTTAATCGAAAACCTATAAATTCGAAAATATTTTAGAGTTTTTTTTTGATGATTAAAAAGAGTAAAATAAAATTATTTGAATAAAAGGTATGTATGTGAGATAATACATATTTAAAAAATTTTTTTGATAAATAATTAAAAATAAATGAAAAGAATATGTTTATGAGAAAAGAAAAGCAAAAAAGAAATTAAAAGAAAAGAAATTTTATTTTAATTAATTGAATGCACAATAATACTTTTCAATCAAATCAGCATACATATATAATATAAAGGTTAAGATTTTTACTATATTGAGCTAACAATCAAATTGTATTCAAATAAATCTGTTTTTTTTGAATGAGTTTTATTCAAACATAAAAAATCAGAAAAGGAATGAAATTAAAAATAAAACTGAACTCAAAATTATCATTGAGTTTGTTGAAGTAGAAGGAGCTGTTGCTTAGCAACCTGATTTATCAGCCATAGCATATTAAGTGCTACTTCCATTACAGGCAAGGCAATCGGCATTAGTCCATGTTTTAGCAGTTCTACTAGCACCACAAGTTCCAGTTGAAGCCACACAACCAGTTTATCCTTTATTAGCAAAGACAGCTTGAACTTAGCCATTAGGAGTTCCAGGACAAGATTGACAGAAGAGATCAGAAGCACCAGTAAGTCCTGATGAAGTACTTGCAGGACAACTAGCAATAGCACATTTTCCAGAACCTACACCATTTTACCAGGCCAAACCAGCAGGAACAGTTGGAACAGCTGTGCAAGTTCCAACGGTTGCGCATGTTGCAGCAGAGCAAGTAACATCAGCACCAGCAGCAGATACAGGATTTGCTTAGCAACCAGATTTATCAGCCTTAGCATATTAGCTGCTAGTTCCATTACAGGCAAGGCAATCTGCGTTAGACCATGTATTAGCAGCTCTAGTAGCACCACAAGTTGCAGTAGCAGCAACACAACCAGTTAATGCAGCATTAGCAAACACAGCTGCAACTCCACTACCAGGACAAGATTGACAGAAAAGATCAGAAGCACCAGTAAGTCCTGATGAAGTACTTGCAGGACAACTAGCAATAGCACATTTTCCAGTAGCTCCACCATTCTACCAGGTCAAACCAGCAGGAACAGTTGGAACAGCTGTGCAAGTTCCAACGGTTGCGCATGTTGCAGCAGAGCAAGTAACATCAGCACCAGCAGCAGGTACAGGATTTGCTTAGCAACCAGATTTATCAGCCTTAGCATATTAGCTGCTAGTTCCATTACAGGCAAGGCAATCTGCGTTAGACCATGTATTAGCAGCTCTAGTAGCACCACAAGTTGCAGTAGCAGCAACACAACCAGTTAATGCAGTATTAGCAAATACAGCTGCAACTCCACTACCAGGACAAGATTGACAGAAAAGATCAGAAGCACCAGTAAGTCCTGATGAAGTACTTGCAGGACAACTAGCAATAGCACATTTTCCAGTAGCTCCACCATTCTACCAGGTCAAACCAGCAGGAACAGTAGGAGCAGCTGTGCAAGTTCCAACGGTAGTGCATGTTGCAGCAGAGCAACTAACATCAGCACCAGGTGCATTTGCTTAGCAACTAGATCTATCTAAGGTAGCATATTAGGCGGTATTTCCATTACAGGCGAGACAATCTGCGTTAGACCATGTATTAGTAGCTCTAGTAGCACCACAAGTTGCAGTAGCAGCAACACAACCAGTTAATGCAGTATTAGCAAACACAGCTGCAACTCCACTACCAGGACAAGATTGACAGAAAAGATCAGAAGCACCAGTAAGTCCTGATGAAGTACTTGCAGGGCAGTTAGTAATAGCACATTTTCCAGTAGCACCACCATTCTACCAGGCCAAACTAGCAGGAACAGTCGGAACAGCTGTACAAGTTCCAACAGTTGCGCAAGTTGTAGCAGAGCAAGTAACGTCGGCACCTTGTGCAGCGAATATTTAGCTTACTAAAAGTGAGGCTATAAATAACTTTAAAATAGTCATTTTACTTAAATTGATGTTTTAATTATTTTCTTTTTTTAATTAATTAATTATTATGAAAAGAGGTTGTTTGATTTAGTTATTTATAAGAAGGATATAGAAAATAAAATTTCTTAATTTAATTATTTTCTTCTAAAAAAAAATAAAATATATGAAGGTATATATGTATGGTACTTTAATTAGTTTATTTGATGAAAACAAGAAGTAATGAGTATTCTAAATTATATATAATAAATGTATATAAATAAATAAGGGGCAATTTGTATTTTAAAATTTTAAGAATAATTTTTTTAGATAAGTAGTAATTAATGTACATACACTTTTAGTTAGAAAATAAAAATAAAGACTTAGTTTATAAATAACATTTAAAAAAAACAAAGAGGATTTTAGATAGTCATAGTACTATGTATTAAATAAAAAAATCTCTTAAGCTTATTATGTCAAACAAGCAATTTGATTAAGTATATCAGTTATTAGCTCTTAAAAGCTAAATAAATTTGCTAACTTGATACCTTACCCTATCAAAATTTAAAAAAATATTTTTCAGTATTTATTATATTAATTTTCTAATTAACTATCAAAGTCTATTAATTTTAATATGAAAGATAATTTAAAATTTAAAATGTCTATCTATATTAGCTGAGAATCACTTACTTAATAATATAAATACAATTAAAATTTGATTAAAAGGTTGATTTACATTCATATAATTTTGATGATTAAATCAATTTAAGTTGCGCAATAATGATTATGATAATAGTCAAAAAAATTTATTATCTAAATATCTTTCTTTTGCTTTATTGATTTTTTTTCAAAGTATAAATGTTCACAAGTAATGGATGAAGTAGTTAGAGAGTTTAGTTATATATCTAATTAAATTTATGGAAAAAATTAATTTAAGCAAATTTATATATGTTTTTTACTTTATAAAATATTAGAGTATTTATCTATAAAATATTTTAATGAATGTTACATAAAAAGTAAAAAAATTTATACAAAAAATTTTCTTAAATGATAAATCAATAAATAAATAAATAAATAAACAAATCAGCTATTTTATTTGCTAAACTAAGTTATAAAATAAATATACTGTTAATACAAATATTGCTATCCATCACATCCCAAAATTATTGGCTTGTGTCATATAGAAAAAACAAACATGAAATATTATCTGTAACAGCCAATAAATTGTTTCAAAATAGAGTAATTACACTTGATTTATTAGTGTATGCTTTTAATTTTGATTAAAAAATAAATAGTGTATTAGTGAATAAATCTATAGAAAATCCTATGTTTTTAAGGAAAAGTCTATAATGTATTTTTAATTTTGATTAAAAAATGTGTATTAGAGAATCGATATATTGAAAGTCCTGATGTTTTTACAGAAAAGTCTATAGATGATTTAATGTTTCTGTCAATTATAAAATAAAGTTAAAAATGCCAAAAATTAACATTTTTTTCAAAGATTCCAAGTAAAATTATGGAAGCTTAAAAAGATAAATATAAAACATTAATAAATTATTGCATTATAAAGAAAATGACATGTTCTAAATAAGTAATAATATTTGAATTTCATTTAAAAAAGCTGATCTTAAATTTTTACTTGCTTGATAATATTTGCGTGAATAAAATTGCCAAAAATTAATTATCTAAATCTTTTTTAATGTGAATTATATATAGGCTTACACATTATTCTTTTCAAAAAGCCTAAAATTTTTAATTAATTTCTAGTCGTGAGTATTTTTCAAAGAATAAGAATTTATTAGACCAAATCAAACAAATTCAATTTTATTTTCTACACTTTTAATTCATATTTCTGAGTATTTTGGAATTGAAGGTATTTGAATATTTACATATTTATTTCAAAAAAATATTATTTAAGCGCTAATGACATTATGCAAATAAATGACTTAGTCTTTTTGAAGCTAAACATTCATTATTTTCAAATTTTATATTATTAGATTAAAAAATTTATAGACCTATTAAAATACGTGAATTTTCCTTCAAACGTTTAGCCTGAAAGCTATTTTTAAGGATATTTTAATTAAGCATTTTAGAAGAATTACTTACTTAACTTAATTAAATCTAATAATTGATTAATCTCTTACGGGATGGGATGGATTCCAAATTTTTTACACTTTTTCAGATTGCTATCAAAAATAAATGAATAAATGGATGACATACGATGTGTGCAATACAAAGAAACCATTAATAAATTTTTCATAATAATTTTGTAAATCATTTTATATTATTTTAATATAAATAAATTCAAGTAAAAAATATTTTTTTTTAAATAGAATTTTTTAAATATTTTTTGAATAATAGACAAATCTAATCAATTATGTTCCCTGAAATCTTAAAGTAAAAAATAAATTAATAACATCATGCTTTTTTGCTAAAATGTAACTTAGTTATCAACAAGCGAAAATATTTTCTTTTATTTGATATAAATAATTTTGTAATCTAAAAGATAACTTTTTTAAACTATTTTTGAAAAATTTAGAAAATGAAGCTGTATATTTTTTATTTTTTGTTAATTATTAAAAAATAAATACTTCTTTACTTTTAATTGAAAATATTTGAATACATATCCAAAATTTAAAAGATGAAAATCTTTGTTTGTTTGTTTGATTGCTATTAGCGAATATATTTTTTTTATTTAAAATAGAAAAATTTCAAAAAATCTTTTTTAATAGATTAATGAATGTATTTATTTAAAAATTTTGTTACTAATTATGTTCAATATGCATTTAAAATTTAAAAAGAAAAAGATTAAAATAAATTTTATGTAAATCAAGAATAATAATAGGCTTTCATAAAATTCAATCATTCAAAAATTAATACTTTCTTTTAGGAAAATTATTTTAAGTGCTCAAAAAATAAAAACAATTTGTTCATATATTGATTTACAAGCAAGCAATTTACAAGCTGTTTATTCTTAATTCATTATAATAATTTTAAAACTATGTTACTCATTTTAATGCTAAATGCATATTTACTTTTAAAACCATCTTATATTTTTAAGTCTATTTTTTTGAGTTCATTTTCAGTTATGAATTAAAGTTTTTGTTTGAAATGTTTCATTAACATTTTCTTCAAATCTGAAATGATTTTAATAGAAAGCAAAGGAATATTGATTGATAATTGCCAATAAAATTTGAAAAATCACTAATAAGTAAATATCACTATACTTAAAATAAATAAGGAGAAAAATCCAAAAGATATCCTTATTAATTTCCAATTAATTGTAGACTAATTTGTTTTAATTAAAAAGAAAAATAAATAATTAATTAGTAACTTTGTTTGTTTGTTTGTTTGTTTGCTTGCTTGTTAATAATCAATTATCAAAATCAAATTTATGCATTCATTCAAAGATTATCAATTATTTTCTAATAACATTACTTACCTAAAATCAATTATTTAAGATATTAAATAATAAATATAATTTATTAAATTAAAGCACTCCACTTATACTTTTATCATTGATTTTAATTAAATCCTTTCACTCAAAAGATAAAATATTTGAATTTACTTCTTAATATATTTATACAAGATTTTATGTAAGCAAATAGAGGAGTTAAGAATTTTAATTATATTCATATATAGATTCACTAAAAAGCATAAAGATTCAAGTTTTTTTTGAAAAAGTATTTACATATATGTATATATGTATATTCATACATTCATGCATAGATGCATACATTTTTGTATAAATATATAATATTTTCTTAATAAATTGTTACATTTGCACTGATTAGTATACTTTTTACTCTCATTATCAAATCAAATTTAGATAGACCCACAAAAGAAAAATACTACTAACAGCTTCTGGCTGTTTATAACCTTTAAAGGATGAAATCAATGATTTTAAATATAAAAGTTGCATATAACAAAAAAATAAACAATAAAAAATCATGCGAATTAAATAAGCAAAATACTATTAATTAATCAAAGTAATAAATATTTTGTTTTCATTTTTAAGTATTTTAATTAAAATGTAAATTCCAAAGACAAAGCACTTTCTCAAATTTGTATTTTGGGTATTATATCTATAAATCAATATATACCATATGTAATAAGTATAGACCCAAAAAAAATGCGAAGCATAATTTCAAATAAAATCACATAATGTGATATTTAAAAAAAATAATCATAAAAATTCTATATTTTAGATTAAAATATCTGTTACAAAATATATAATACAAAACATAATAAAATATACTCAATTATTTAAATGTTATTTAATTTATTCCGACTACTTTGATCATTTATTTATCAATTATCATTAGAAATATTTAAAGATAACTAATCTTTTTGATTTAAGACACTAGTTATTTATTTTCAATTCTCCCTATCTATCAATTTTGTTTGAACTATTATTAAGAATAAAATGTTAAATTTAAAATAAATTTTTTAAATCAGTAAATAAAAACAAGAGGAATAAAAATTAAAAATAAATTAATTAATATATCTCTATTGTTTTAAATTCATTTTTATATAAAAAACATATCGCAATGTAAACCACATAAACTATTTTTACAGAAGTTGAAGATTCAAATTTGTGAGATTAGTGTACATTGCTAAAGCAGAACATAAGCTTGATACGCCCTCATCCCCAATTAAATTGGAACTATTTAAATATTGAAGAAGTATAAATAAATAATTAATTAGTTTGTTAGAAGTAAAAAATGTTCTAAAAATATGAAATAATAAAAAATAATTTTGTTAGAAATGAAAAAAAAAAATTAAAAATGAAAGAATGAGTTAAATTACAAAGAAAAAAATAAACAATTAGAAATAAAAAAAAGATAATAAATAATTTAAAAGAGTTTAATATTTTAAATTCATTTTTATATTAAGAAATATCACTATTCAAAACTAATAAACTTTTTTTACGAAAGGTCAAGTTTCAAATTTGAGAGATTAATGCACTTTTCTAAAGCAAAACCTAAATTTGATATACCTGAATCGCCTATTTAATTTTCACTTTGAAGAAAGAAAAAAAAATTAATTTGTTAAATAGAAGTAAAAATGAGGAAAAAATAAAAATAACAATCAATGAGTAAATTAATAATGAAAGCAATATTAAAATGAGTTAAATTAACAAATAAAAAAAAACAAAAGCAGATTAAAAAATAATAATTCAAAAAAAATTCTATTAAATAATAGTATTAAAAGAGTTTTGTTGTTTTAAATTCATTTTTATATTAAAAAATATCATAATGCAAAGCTAATAAACTGTTTTTACGAAAGATCAAGTTTCAAGTTTGATAAATTAGTGCATTTTCCTAAACCAGATCTTAAACCTAACGTACCATCAACACCAATTTAATTGGATCTTTTTAAATATTGAAAAAATATTTATAATTAATTAGTTAGTTAGTCATAAGTCAAAATGAAGAAAAAATATAAAATAATAAACAAAAGCAATATTTGAAAATTAAATAAGAGCTAAATTAACAAACAAACAAACAAAACACAAGTGAAAATAAAAAAAGAAAAATAAATCAAATAAAAAACTAACAAATAAATAAATAGATTAAAAGTGTTTTATTGTATTAAATTCATTTTATTTTTAAAAAATAGCACAATCCAAAACTAAAAAACTGTTTTTACGAAAGATCAAGTATAAATTTTGTGAGATTAGTGCACTTTGCTAAAGCATGACCAAGGCGTGATGTACCCTTATCACCAATTTAATTGTACCTTTTTAATTATTGAAGAAAAATATATAATTCAATAAGATAGTTGCAAGTAAAAAATAAAGAAATAATATTAATTCGTAAATAAAGAATTTAGTTAATAAAGAAATCAAAAGCTAAAAGTAAAAAATTGAGTTGAATTAACAAAGAATAAAAAACACAATCAGAATAAAAAAGAAAAATAAATCAAATAAAAGGCTAATAAATAAATAAATTAATTAAATGAATTTTACTGTTTTAAATTTATTTTTATATAAAAAACCATGACAATTAAAATAAATAAATTGTTTTTTACTAAAGATAGAGTATCAAGTTTGAGAGTTTACTGCATTTTGATAAAGTAATGCATAAGCCTAACACACCTTCATCACCAATTAAATTTTCGCTTTTTAAATATAGAAGAAAAAAATATAATTTGTTTATTTAGTTAGTTAGTTAGTTAGTTAGTTAGTTAGTTAGTTAGTTAGTTAGATTTAAAAAATGAAGAAAAAATATTAAATAACAAGAAAATAATTTAGTTAATAATGAATGAATGAATGAAAAATTTAAAAGTGAAAAAATGAGTTAAATTAAAAAATAAACAAAAAAAAACACAAGCAGAATAAATTATCACAATCCTAAACTAATAAATTATTTTTACGAAAGATGAAGTGTCAAGTTTGAGAGATTAGTGCATCTTGCTAAAGAACTTAAACTTTATGCACCATCAACACTAATTTTATTGTACCTTTTTAAGAATTCAAGAAAAAAATATAATTCATTAGCTACCTAATTAAAAAACGAAGTAAAATATGAAATTAATAAATAAATAATGAAAGCAAAATTTAAAAATGTAAAAATGAGTTAAATTAGCAAAAAAAGAAAAAAAATATAAGCAGGATAAAGCAGAAAATAAATAAAAGAAAAAGCTAATAAATAATTTAAAAGAATTAGTTATTTATGTTATAAATTAATTTGTATATTTAAAGATACATATAATAATATTTTACGATAGATCAAGTATCAAGTTTTAGAGATTAGTACACTTTCCTAAAGCAGAACTTAAGCCTTAAGTACCTTTAACACCAATTAAATTGGATCTTTTTAAATATTAAAGAAATATATATAACTATTTATTTAATTAATTAATTAGTAATAATGAAAAAATGAAGAAAAAATATGAAATAATCCAAGAACAATTTAGTTAATAATGAAAGCAAAAGTCGAAAATAAAAAATGTGTTAAATTAACAATGAAAGGAAAGGATTAACACAAGTAAAATTAAATAGAAAAATTAATAAATAGGTTAAGAGAGTTTTGAAGTTTTAAATTCGTTTTTGTATTAAAAAATATCATTATTCAAAACTAATAAATTGTTTTACGAAAGATCAAGAGTCAAATTTTATATATTAGTGCACTTTGCTATAGCAGAACCTAAGCCTGATACTCCCTCGGCACCAATTTTATTTGAACTTTTTAAATATTAACAAGTATATATAATTAATTAGCAAGCTAGTTAGTTGTAAAAAATGAAGAAAAATATGAAATAATAAGAAAATTATTTATTAAAAGTGTTTTATTTGATTAAATTTATATATAAAAAATATCATAATCCTTAATAAAATAAATAAATAAACTGTTTTTACAGAAGGTGAAGTGTTAAGTTAGAGAGATTAATACAATTTGTTAAAGCAGAACCAAAATTTTATGCACCTTCATCACTAATTTGATTTGACCTTTTTAAAAATGAAGAAATAAATTAAATTTATTCGTTAGTTAGTTAGTTAGAAGTAAAAAAATTAAGAAAAAATATGTGTTTTAAATATAATTTTATATTTAAAAATATCACAATGCAAAATAAATAAACAAACAAACTAAATAACTAACTATTTTTACATAAGATGAAGTGTAAAGTTTGAGAGATTAGTATAATTTGCTAAAGCAGAACTTAAACCTGATGCACCATCAACACCAATTTAATTAGACCTTTTTACATATTGAAGATATATTTATTATTAATTAGCTAGTTATTAGGATAAAATCATTAAAAAATATGAAATAATCAAAAAATATTTTAGTTTATTATGAAAACAAAAGTTTAAAATAAAAAAATGAGTTAAATAAAAAAAATATTAAAAAAAAAAATTAATAATATTTTATTGCTTTAAATTCATTTTTATATGAAAAAATATCACTTTAAAAAACAAATAAACTATTTTTACGAAAGATTAATGGCCAGCTTTATAAGATTAGTGCATTTTGATAATGTAGAACCCAAGCCGGTTGCACCTTCGTTACAGATTTAATTGTACCTTTATAAATATTGAAGTAAAAATGTCTAAATAATAAGTTAGTTAAAAGTAAAAAATGAAGAAAAAGTATGAAATAATAAAAATAAAATTTAGTTAATAATGAAATCAAAAGTTTATAAAATGAGTTATTTTACAAAGAAACAAAAAGGATACTCGAAGACTGAAAAATAAAAATAAGTTAAATTAAAAGTGCTTCTTTGTCTTTAAATTAATTTTTATGTTAAAAAATATCGCAATCTAAAACAAACTCATAAATTGTTTTTACGAAAGATCAAGACTCAAATTTGTGAGATTAGTGCACTTTGATAAACCAGATCCTAAGCCTGATGCACCTTTAGCGCCAATTTTATTGGAACTTTTAATAATAGAAGAAATAAATTTAATTAGTTAGTTAATTAGTTAGAAATAAAAAATGAAATATATTTATGAAATAACAAGAAATCAAGGCAATCAAAAAAATAGTTAAATTAAAGAAAGAAAAAAAACATGCAAGCAGAATAAAAAAGAAAATAAGTAAAATAAAAAACTTATAAATAAATTTATGAGCTTTGTTGTTTTAAATTCATTTTTTTTTAAATATCACAATCCAAAACTATAATAATAAAAAATTTTTACGAAAGATCAAGTATCAAATATGAGAGATTAATGCACTTTGATAAAGCAGAACCTAAGCCTGATGCTCCTTCGACACCAATCTAGTTAGATCTTTTTAAATATTGAAGAAATATTTATATTTAATTAAATATTTAATGTTAAGGAAAAGAAAGGAAGAAAGCATATTAAACAAAAAGAAAGAATTTAATTTATAATGAATGATTCAGAAGATTGAAAAAGAATAAATAAATGAGTTAAATTAACAAAGAAAAAAAGAAAAAAAAACACAAGATATACATACTAAAAAAGAAAAAAAACACAAGCATAATAATAAACAAAATAAATCAGATTAAAATTTAATAAATTGCTTTTACGGAAGATGAAGTGTGAAGTTTGAGAGATTAGTGCATTTTGATAAAGCAGAACCTAAGCATAATATGCCATCAACACCAATTTAATTGAACCTTTTTAAATATTAAAGAAATATATATAATTAATTAGTGTTATTTAAGAAAAAAATGACAAAAAATATCAAATAATATGAAAAGAATTTAGTTAATAATCAAAATGAAAGTTGAAAACTAAAAAATAAATTAGTCAAATTAATAAAGAAAACACAAATAAAAAAAAATAAAAATAAATTAAAAGAGCAATTAATTATTTTAAATTGATTTTTTGAAAACATATCACAATCTAAAGCAAATAAACTGTTTTTACGAAAGATCAAGGATCAAGTTAGTGAGATTACAGCATTTTGCTAAAGCAAAACTCAAGCCTGATATACCTTCAACACCAATTTAATTGCACCTTTAAAATATAGAGGAAAAAATATTTAATTAATTTATTAATTATTTAGTTAGAAGTAAAAATGAATAAAAAATAAATATGAAATAATAAGAAAAGTACTTACTTAATTAATTAATAATTAAAGTAAAAGTTTAAATTGAATAAATTTACAAATAAAGTAAAAAAAAAAACACACAAAAAGAATAAAAAGCAAAAATATATCAAATAAATAAATTAGAAGATTTTTGTTGATTTAAATTCATTTAAATATAATAAACTATTTATTTTTACGAAAGATCAAGTGTGAAGTTTGAGAGATTAGTGCAATTTCCTAAACCAGAACCTAAACCTTATAAACCCTCATTACTAATCTGATTGGATCTTTTTAAATATGAGGAAGTATATAAAAATAATTAATTAACTAGTAAGTAAAAATGAAGAAAAATTATGAGAAATAAGAAATGAATAAATATTAATGATGAAAACAAAAGTAGAAAATGAATAATAAGAAAATAAATAAAATAAAAAGTTAATAAATAATTTAAAAGAGTTTTATTGCTTTAAATTCATTATATTTTAAAAATATCAAACATAATCCAAATCAGATAAATTGTTTTTACGAAAGAATAAGTGTGAAGTTTGAGAGATTAATGCACTTTGCTAAAGCAGGACCTAAGTCTGATGTACTTTCATTACCAATTTAACTAGACCTTTTTAAAAATTTAAGAAATATATTTATATATAATTAGTTAGTTAGTAATAACGAAAAAATGAAGAAAATATGAAATAATAAGAAAAGAATTTAATTAATAATCAAATAAAAGTAAAAAATGAAAAATAATTTAAAAAACATTTATATGTTGTATTCTTAAAATTAAAATTTCTTTTATAAAAATAATTTTTTAAACAACTTAAAATAAAATATTAATAAATTAAATAATAATATTAATAAATAAATAAATAAATATACTTTAGATCTATACAGATAACTGAATAGGATTAAAAAGAAGAGTTTAAAAACTTTTTTATAAATAAAAATAAATTTAAATAATATTCATATTAAAGTAACTATTTATTTACATCTTTTAGACTTTTATAATACTTTTTATATTACATCATTTATTTATTTGTTGGTTTATTTTACAAAAATATTTAATAAAAATTTATGGAAATTTAATTAATTAATTATAAAAATGTGAAAAAACTTATTTAAATAAAAAGAAAAAAACAAATATATAATAAGATAAATCAAATATCTATGGATTTAAATAGTTCACTTTTTAAGAGGGGTTACGAAAAAAAGTTAGTGAAATTTTCATTATAAAACCTTAATAGAAAAATAATAATTTTACTTTACTTTCATAAAAAAATTAAAATTGAAACCCTCACTATTAGAACTATTCGGACTCAACATAAAATTTTGTGTAAAATAGTAAAAACCTCTGGTCGGATTTCCTAAATCCGAAGTCCGAGGAAAAAGATAATTTGGTTTATCAATAACTGTAGACTTAAAAAATCATACATCCTTATTCTTTATCATATTCCTTAGTTGCAATAAATAACAGTTTTTAAATTTTCTATTAATTTATAAAAAATATTTATTATTCTACTAATAAATACATATTTTTGACTTATGCGGACTTATGCGCGAAATAATTAGTTAATTATTCATGAATAACTAGCTAGCTTTTATACAAATTTAACTTTTTTCTATAAAATAAAAAAAGTCCCTAAAATTAAAAAAGATTAAAAAGAGTAAAATAAAATTTTAATAAAAGATATGTATGTATGTATGTATGTGAGATAGATAATACATATTAAAAAAATTTTTTTTGATAATTTATTAAAAATGAAAAGAATATGTAAGCAAAAAAAAAATTATAAGAAAAGAAATTTTATTTTAATTAACTGAATGTACAAAATAAATAATACTTTTCAATCAAATCAGCATACATATATAATATAAAGGTTCAGTAAGAACTTTAATATATTGAGCTAACAATCAAATAAATATTATAATAAATCTGTTTTTTTTGAATAATTTTAATTCAAACATAAAAAATCAGAAAAAGAATGAAATTGTAAATAAAACTGAGCTCAAAATTATCATTGAGTTTGTTGAAGAAGAGGAAGGAGAAGAAGAAGAAGAAGGAAGAGCTGTTGCTTAGCAACCAGATTTATCAGCCTTAGCATATTAGGTGCTATTTCCATAACAGGCAAGACAATCGGCATTAGTCCATGTATTAGCAGTTCTACTATCACCACAAGTTGCAGTTGAAGCTACACAACCAGTTTATGCATTATTAGCAAAGACAGCTTGAACTGAGCCATTAGGAGTTCCAGGACAAGATTGACAGAAGAGATCAGAAGCACCTGTAAGTCCTGATGAAGTACTTGCAGGACAACTAGTAATAGCACATTTTCCAGAATTTGCACCATTCTACCAGGCCAAACCAGCAGGAACAGTTGGAACAGCTGTACAAGTTCCAGCAGTTGTGCATGTTGCAGCAGAGCAACTAACATCGGCACCAGGTGGATTTGCTTAGCAACCATTTTTATCTACTTAAGTATATTAGCTGGATTTTCCATAACAGGCAAGGCAATCTGAGTTAGTCCATGTATGAGCAGGTCTAGCATAACAATCTGCAGTTGAAGCAACACAACCAGTAAACCCAATATTAACAAAGACAGCTGCAACTCCATTGACAGTAGGACCAGGACAAGATGTACAGAAGGGATTAGAAGCATTAACAAGTCCTGATGAAGTATTTGCAGGACAGTTATTAATAGCACAATTTCCATTAATTGAACCATTCTACCAGCTCAAGCCAGCTGGAACAGTTGGAACTTTGGGGCAAGTACCTGTTGAGCATATACTAGAAAGGCAAGTAATATCTGCACCTTGAGCAGCGAATATTTAGCTCGCTAAAAGTGAGGCTATCAATAACTTTAAAATATTCATTTTACTTAATTTTTTTTTTAATTGTTTTCTTTTTAATTAATTAATTATTATGAAAAAAGGTTGTTTGATTTAAGTATTTATAAAGAAAGATATTGACAAAAAATTTCTTAATTTAACTTTTTCTTCTAAAATATAATAAAATCTATGAAGATATGTACCTATGTACTTTAATTAATTTATTACAAGTTTTAATGAGCATTCTAAATTATAAATAATGAATGTATAAAAATAAATAAGGGGCTAATTTATATTTTAAAATTTTAAGTAAAATTTTATAAGTTATCCTTTATATATCTTCATTTTTTTGATGAAAATTTATGCGCAAATAAAGGGAAGTACAGTGAATTAAAAGTATATTAGTTGAATTTTATATGTTAAAGTATTAAATTCAATATTCAAAGTTTTGCTGAGTGTTTATAGTTGATTTCAAGCTTAATTACATTGTCATTTTGTTTCTTCAAGTAACAATTATTAATTAAGATTAGCTTAATTTTAGATATGTGTAATCTTAAAAAGAAAAAATTTATTATTTTATTTGAATTTTTGACAATCTGTATAATTCTGTAAAAATAATTTTAACAAAAAATAATATCATAAACTGACTTAAAAATCACTTATCAATAGATTTTATACATAACTAAAAATGCTAAATGAATGTAAGTTTGTTATATTTCTTTATGAAAAAAATATTTATAAACTTTTTTAATATTTTTGAAGGGATAGAGGAATCAAAAATGGCATAAATTAAAACAGACAAAGTACAAGAAGAAAGACTACATACTTTTAAATAAATTGGTTTTTTCTTAACAAAATAAAATATATTTTAAGTCAAACAATGACTTAAAATATTTTATTATTTTTCTATTCAGAATGAAATAGGGAATAGATCTTTCAAATTCATTCAAATTATCTAATACAACTACAAGATCAAATATTCTGAGTAAATCTTATTTATTAATTAAAAAACAAATTCATGAATTTACTTAAATAATATAGATTAACAAACAACTTTGAATAAAGTAGTACGAGGCAAAAACTATTTATGAAATGAATGTGTATAATGATTAATAATTAAATAAACTTAAGTAGATTTTTTTAGATTAAAATTAGAAAGACTTCTTGAAACAGCATATAAATTAAAATGGTTTGTAAATACTTAGCCAATAAATTAGTGTGTAAATATACTAAAATGTTTCAATAATTTAAAAATTAATAATTCTTAAGAAGGAAAATTTCATTTGATATATAGTAGAATCAATTAGTTTCTAATTAGCTTTGTTCACAAATATAAATCAGCAAAAAAAATTCTCAAGTCAATTTATCAATTAGTCTATAAAATATCTATTTTGTGTAATATGCTTGTGTGTTTTCAAAAATGTTACAAAGATATTTTGATTATTAATTTTTGGTAATTATTTACTGTAAAAAACATATTAAATTATGTAACCTTAATTAATTTAATAAGGAAAAAACAGTAGTAAAATAGTAAAAACCTAGGGTCAGATTTCCTAAATCCGAAGTCTAAGGTAAAAGATAATATGGTTTATCAATAACTGTCGAATTAAAAAATGGTACATCCTTATTCTGTATCATATGCCTTAGTTGCAATAAAAAACAGCTTAATCTTATGCAAAGCAAAAAAAAAGAAATATCAGTTTGTTAGACTTCTAACAATAACTATTTATCAAGTTAATTTCTCAATATCAATTAGAAAAAAAGCATTAAAAAGATAAATCTGAATATAAATACTAATAAGAAAAAGAACTGATGAATAAGTGCTTAAAGAGCATGAAATAATTTTTTGAAGGAATTGTTTCTTTGTAAAGAAAAAGGGATAGTTAAAAAGTAACATTTTACTGGTAAGTATGATAGAATTAATGTTTGTGTTGTATGTTATGGTTTACATGGAAATAATGTAATTTTTCATAACATATTTAATCAAAATTTAATTTTTGATAAGGAAATCTAAATTTTTCTATCAAGAATTGAATCTTGAATTATAAATTTATTTTTTTACATAAATAATAAAAAAATGAAAAAGATTTTAATTTCAATATTAAATGTTTGGTATAAAAATTTAGATTTCTTAGTCAAAAATTAAATCTTTGATTAAATTTTTTATTTTTTGTTTATTTAGTCAAGTTCCTTTGTTTTCTAATTCGATACCTTTTTTTAATTATTTTTAAATTTTCTATTAATTTATAAAGAAATATTTATTATTCTACTACTAAATACATATTTCTGACTTATGCACGAAATAATTAGTTAATTATTCATGAATAGCTAGCTAGCTTTTGTACAAATTTAACTTTTTTCTATTAAATATAAAAAGTCCCTAAAATTAAAAAAGATTAAAAAGAGTAATATAAAATTTTAATAAAAAGTATGTATGTGAGATAGATAATACATACTAAAAAAATTTTTTTGATAAATTATTAAAAATGAAAAGAATATGTTTATGAGAAAAGAAAAGCATAAATGAAATTTTATTTTAATTAACTAAATGCACAATAAATAATACTTTTCAATCAAATCAGTATACATATATAATATAAATGTTAAGTAAGAACTCTACTATATTGAGATCAAAATCAAATCAGTATTATAATAATCTTTTTTTTGAATGAATAACATAAAAAATCAGAAAAGATATGAAATTAAAAATAAAATTGAGCTCAAAATTATCATTGAGTTTGAGTAAAAAGAAGGAGAAGGAGAAGAAGTAGAAGAAGGAGCTGTTGCTTAGCAACCAGATTTATAAGCCTTATCATATTAGGTGCTTGTTTCATTACAGACAAGGTAATCTTTGTTAGTCCATGTATTAGCAGTTCTAGTATTACCAAAAGTTGCACTTGCAGCAACACAATCAGTTAATGCAGTATTAGCATACCAAGCTATAATATTGCTATTACTATTGATTCCAGGACAAGAGTGACAGAAGAGATCAGAAGCACCAATAAGCCCTTATGAACTATCTTCAGGACAACTAGTAATAGCAAATTTTCCACAACAATTACCATTTTACCAGGTCAAGGTAGCAGGAGCAGTTGGAATATCTGTACAAGTTCCAGGAGTTGTGCATGTTTCAGTAGAGCAAATAACACTGGTACCAGGTGGATTTGTTTAGCAATCAGAACTATCTAAGTTAGCATATTATCTGGAACTTCCATAACAGGCAAGCCAATCTAAGTCATTCCATGTATTAGCAGGTCTAGAAAAAAAACAAACTGCTTGTGAAGCAACACAACCAGTCAAATCAACATTAGCAAAGACTGCTGCAATTCCTTGGATAGTAGTACCAGGACAAGATTGGCAGAAGAGATTAGAAGCATTAACAAGTCCTGATGAAGTATTTGCAGGACAGTTATTAATAGCATATTTTCCATTACTTGAACCATTCTATCAGCTCAAGCCAGTAGGCAAAATTGGAGGGAGGATGTGTGCAAGTTCCAAGTGTTGTGCATGTATTATAATTGCAAATAACATCGGCACCTTAAACAGCGAATATTTAGCTTACTAAAAGTGAGGCTATTAATAATTTTAAAATATTCATTTTACTTAAATTTATTTTTTAATTGTTTTCTTTTTAATTAATTAATTATTATGAAAAAAGGTTGTTTGATTTGAGTATTTATAAAGAAAGATATAGACAAAAAAATTTCTTAACTTAAATTTTTCTTTTAAAATATAACAAAATCTATGAAAATATGTAGTTATGTACTTTAATTAATTTATTACAAGTTTTAATGGCATTCTAAATTATAAATAACGAATGTAAATAAATAAATAAATAAATAAATAAATAAATAAATAAATAAATAAATAAATAAATAAATAAGGGTTAATTTATACTTTAAAATTTTAATAAATATTTGATAAGATAAGTAGTAATTAATGTACATATACTTTTTGCTACAAAAAGCAAGCAATATGATTGATTAATAAAAAATTAGTTTATAAATAACATTTTTTAATAGAAAAAAAGATGATCTTTGATAGTCATATTCACTTAAGTTCTTAAGATAGATAAGCGAGTAGGTTGAGAATATCAGTTATTAGCTCTCTCTTAAAAACTAAATAAATTTCTTCACTTTTGATTTTGATACCTTACCCTATCAAACTTTAAAAAAATATCTTACAGTATCTATTATATTATTTTTCTTATTAACTATCAAAGTTAATGTATTTTAATATGAAAAATAATTGAAAATTTACAAAGTATATATGATCTGAGAATAACTCACTTCATACAATAAATAATAAAAATGTGATTAAAAAGGTTGCTGAAAGATAGATAAAATGTAGTTAATAAGAGTATTATATATTTACATTCATATAATTTTGATGATTAAATCAATTTAATTTATATGAATAATTATTATGAAAATAGTAAATTTATTATTTAAATATCTTTCTTTTGCTTTATTGATTTTTTTCAAAGTATAAATGTTAAAAAATACTGAATGAAGTAGTGAGAGAATCTAGCTATATATATAGTTAAATTTATGGAGAAAACTATTTTAAATAAATGTATACATGTTATTTAATTTATAAAACATTAGAGTGTTAATCTATAAAATATTTTAATGATTATTACATAAAAAGTAAAAAAATGTATTCAAAATATTCTTAATTGATAAATCAATATATAAACAAATCAAGTATTTTATTTGCTAAATTAAGTAAAATATATAAATAAATATTCTGTTAATACCAATATTGTTATCCATCACATCCCAAAATAATTGTCTTTGTAATATGAAATAAATTGACTAAAAAATTTGAAAGGTGTTGAAAAATAAAAATTGTAATTTTAGATGGATGGAATTCATTAAAAGATTTAATAATATTCATCTATCAACAAAAAAAATTTCTAAATATAATTTTTAGAGGCTTATTTTTGTAATTTGCAACTGTGAAAATTTATGTTCAAAATATTATCGTATTATTTTTTTTGATCATTAAATAGTTAATATTTTCTTTTAAAATAATTAAGCATATTTATTATATTATAAAATAAAAATCTATTTTAAATTAAAAATTTTATATTTAGTTAAAATATGTACAATAATAAAATTTAATATTTAATTTTAATATTAATATTACAAAAAATAAATAAATTAATTAGTAAAGCACTTCCAAGATTATAAATCTTGTAAAGTTATATCTCAAGAAATTTAATCCTCAAAGTGCTATAAAAACCTACATCATCAATATTATAAAAGGAATATGATAAATAAAACAGTCTGTTAAATAAATGAATTTTGACTATAAAGGTGAATAACATTGTTATTAACACTCAAATGCATGCATGCTTTGATTATATATTGAAAATTTTTTTGATATTATTTGAATTCTTAATAATATTAAAGAAAATCAGTTTTTAATCAAAATAAAATACACACCTTTTTATCAATTTTTATCAATAATGAAATAGGTGATTTCAAAAAAAATTAAATCTTAGGTTTTGTGTAATGCACTACCAAATCTATGAAAAAGAGAGAAGTTACTCCTATTAGGAGTGCTAGTGATATATTTCATTGCTTAAATAACTATAAAGTTTATTAAAAAAACCATAAAAATAGAGAAAATAAAATGCACAGAACTCATAAATCTTTATATAGGTGATCAATCAAGAAAGTTTAGAAAAATTAATTTAGTAGCTGAAATACTATGAAAAATTGCTGTATTATGTGGTGTAAGAAGGACTCTATTGTTTTTAAATTTTCTTTTAATTTATAAAAAAATATTTATTATTCTACTACTAAATAAATATTTCTAACTTTGAATGATATAATTAATTAATTATTCATGAATAGATAGCTAGTTTTTCTAAAAATTTTAATTTTTCTATTAAATAAAAAAAGTCCCTAATTAAAAAAGATTAAAAAGAGTAAAATAAATTTTAATAAAAGGTGTGTTAGAAAATTGATGTTAAAAAAAATTGTTTTGATAAATAATTAAAAATGTAAAAAATTTGTTTATGAGAAAAGAAAAAAAGAAATTAAAAGAAAAGAAATTTTATTTTAATTAACTGAATGTACAATAAATAATACTTTTCAATCAAATCAGCATACATATATAATATAAATGTTAAGTAAGAACTCTACTATATTAAGCTAACAATCAAATTAGTATTATAATTAATCTTTTCTTTGAATGAATTTAATTCAAACATAAAAAATCAGAAAAGGAATGAAATTAAAAATAAAACTGAGCTCAAAATTATCATTGAGTTTGTTGAAGAAGAAGTAGAAGAAGAAGAAGAAGAAGAAGGAGCTGTTAAAGAGCAACCAGATTTATCAGCCTTAGCATATTAGGCGGTAGTTCCATTACAGGCAAGGCAATCTGCATTAGTCCATGTATTAGTAGTTCTAGTATTACCACAAGTTGCACTTGCAGCAACACAACCATTTTATGCAGTATTAGCATAGATAGCTTGAACTTAGCCATTAGGAGTACCAGGACAAGATTTGCAGAAGAGATCAGAAGCACCAGTAATTCCTGATGAAGTACCTGCTGCAGGACATCTATTAATAGCACATTATCCAGGAACTGAACCAGTCTACCAGGTCAAGGTACCAGGAGCAGTTGGGCAACTTGCGCATGCGTTAGTAGAGCAAGTAACATCAGCACCAGCACCAGGTGGAATTGCTTAGCAATCAGATCCATCCCCCTTAGCATATTAGGCGCTAGTTCCATGACAGAGAAGGCAATCTGCATTAGTCCATGTATTAGTAGTTCTAGAATTACCACAAGTTGCACTTGCAGCAACACAACCATTTTATGCAGTATTAGCATAGATAGCTTGAACTTAGCCATTAGGAGTACCAGGACAAGATTTGCAGAAGAGATCAGAAGCACCAGTAATTCCTGATGAAGTACCTGCTGCAGGACAGCTATTAATAGCACATTATCCAGGAACTGAACCAATCTACCAGGTCAAGGTACCAGGAGCAGTTGGAGCAGTTGGGCAACTTGTACATGCATTAGTAGAGCAAGTAACATCAGCACCAGGTGGAGTTGCTTAGCAATCAGATCCATCCCCCTTAGCATATTTGGCGCTAGTTCCATGACAAATAAGGCAATCTGCATTATTCCATGTATTAGGAGTTCTTGTATTACTACAACTTGCACTTGCAGCAACACAAGCATTTTATGCAAAATTAGCATAGATAGCTTGAACTTAGCCATTAGGAGTACCAGGACAAGATTTGCAGAAGAGATCAGAAGCACCAGTAATTCCTGATGAAGTACCTGCTGCAGGACAGCTATTAATAGCACATTATCCAGGAACTGAACCAATCTACCAGGTCAAGGTACCAGGAGCAGTTGGAGCAGTTGGGCAACTTGTACATGCATTAGTAGAGCAAGTAACATCAGCACCAGGTGGAGTTGCTTAGCAATCAGAACCATCCCCCTTAGCATATTAGGCGCTAGTTCCATGACAAATAAGGCAATCTGCATTATTCCATGTATTAGGAGTTCTTGTATTACTACAACTTGCACTTGCAGCAACACAAGCATTTTATGCAAAATTAGCATAGATAGCTCGAACTTAGCCATTAGGAGTACCAGGACAAGATGCGCAGAATAGATCAGAAGCACCAGTAATTCCTGATGAAGTACCTGCTGCAGGACAGCTATTAATAACACAAAATCCAGTAGCTGAACCAGTCTACCAGGTCAAGGTACCAGGAGCAGTTGGAGCAGTTGGGCAACTTGTGCATGCGTTAGTAGAGCAAGTAACATCAGCACCAGGTGGAGTTGCTTAGCAATCAGAATAATCCCCCTTAGCATATTAGGCGCTAGTTCCATGACAAATAAAGCAATCTGCATCATTCCATGTATTAGGAGGTCTAGTATTACTACAACTTGCACTTGCAGCAACACAAGCATTTTATGCAAAATTAGCATAGATAGCTTGAACTTAGCCATTAGGAGTACCAGGACAAGATGTGCAGAATAGATCAGAAGCACCAGTAATTCCTGATGAAGTACCTGCTGCAGGACAGCTATTAATAGCACAAAATCGAGTAGCTGAACCAGTCTACCAGGTCAAGGTACCAGGAGCAGTTGGAGCAGTTGGGCAACTTGTGCATGCGTTAGTAGAGCAAGTAACATCAGCACCTAGTGCAGCTATTTAGCTTACTAAAAGTGAGGCTATAAATAACTTTAAAATAGTCATTTTACTAAAATTTGTTTTATTATTTTCTTTTTTAATTAATTAATTATTATCAAAAGAGGTTGCTTGATTTAGGTATTTATAAAGAAGAATATAGACAATACAACTTCTTAATTAATTTTTTTCTTCTAAAATATAATGAAATCTATAAATATATGTAGGTACTTTAATTAATTTATATGAAGAAAAAAAATTAATAATGAGCATACTAAATTAAATAAAGAATAGATTTATCTAATTTATATTTTAAAATTAAAAAAAAATTTATAAGAAAAGTAGTAATGTACACATTTATTTAGAAAAACCAATCAAGCTGATTCATTAATAAATACTTAATTTTATAATAACACTTACAAAGATGATTTTTGATAGTCATATTTACTATTTATTAAATTAAAAAAAATCTTTTAAAATTTTTAAACCAAACAACGAGTAGGTTGAGTATATCAGTTATTAACTCTTAAAAACTAAATAAATTTGCTAGCTTTTCATTTTGATACCTTACCCTATCAAACTTTAGAAAATATATCTTTCATTATCTATTATATTATTTTTTTAAATTGTATGAAAAAATGGAAAAATTAATCTTAAACAATCAAAAACGTGTTTGAAATAGAGTAATCACCCATAATTTATAAGTGGGTGTTTTTAATTTTGATTAATAATTTTTGAAGATTTACTTAACTTATTGGAAGTCAGAATACTTTTACAGAAAAGTCAATAGATGATTTAATGTATCTACCAAAAATAAAATAAAGATAAAAACTCAAAAAATTAATATACCAGGTAAAATTATGGAAGCTTAAAAAGATAAATATAAAACATTTGTAAATTATTGGTTTATAAATAAAAAAATGGGTTCTAACTAAGTAATAATATTTGAATTTCATTTACAAATTTCTGATATTAAATTCTTACTTGCTTGATTATAATTGCTGGTATAAAAATTGATTATTTAAATCTTTTTTAACGTGAATTATAGACTTACACTGAAATTAATTTAAAAAAGCCTTAATTAATTAATTTCAAGGAAATTTAAATTAAACATTTTTGAAGATTTACTTAACTTAATTATATCTAAAAACTGATTAATCACTTACGGGATGGGATGGATTCCAATCTTACTTTTTAAAGCTTTTTCAGATTGCTATCAAAAATAATTAAATGTTAAAAACTCAAAAAATTAATATACCAGGTAAAATTATGGAAGCTTAAAAAGATAAATATAAAACATTTGTAAATTATTGGTTTAAAAATAAAAAAATGGGTTCTAACAAAGTAATAATATTTGAATTTCATTTACAAATTTCTGATATTAAATTCTTACTTGCTTGATAATTATTGCTGGTATAAAAATTGATTATTTAAATCTTTTTTAACGTGAATTATAGACTTACACTGAAATTAATTTAAAAAAGCCTTAATTAATTAATTTCAAGGAAATTTAAATTAAACATTTTTGAAGATTTACTTAACTTAATTATATCTAAAAACTGATTAATCACTTACGGGATGGGATGGATTCCAATCTTACTTTTTAAAGCTTTTTCAGATTGCTATCAAAAATAATTAAATGGATGACATACGATGTGCATGATACAAAGTATAGCCAATAATAATTCTTTCATAATAATTTTGTAGGAAAACAAGCAATTTAAAATTATAAATGGGTTAGTGCCAAAAAATAAAATCTATTTTTTCATATATTTATTTTTAAAAAAGTCACAAACAGCTTATTCTTCAATAATTTTAGTGATGCTAAGATTATGTTACTTATTTTAAACTCATATTTATTTTCAAAACCATCTTTCATAAGGTTATTTTTTGAAATTATTTTTAGTTATGAATTCAATTTTTGTTTGAAAGGTTTCATTAAAACGTTCTTCAAATTTAAATAATTTAAATAGAAAGCAAAGGAATTTTGATTGATAAATGACAATAAAAATTGAAAAATGACAAATAAGTCAAAATTAATAGACAGACAATAAATTAATAATAAAATTTATTAAATTAAGCATCCAACCAACTTATATGCTTTTTATTGATTTTAATTAAATCTATTCGCTTACATAAAATAATATTTCCATGTACTTCTTAATATATTTATATAAGAATTAATATTGACAAAGAGTGGAGTTAAGAATTTTTACTCACTTATATACATACATATATTTATAAAATCATTTATTCAAGTTTTTTTTGAAAAATTATTTAAGCTTCCATGTATTTATGTATGTATATTCTTACATTTATACAAAATACACAAGTAACTTGCTTATAAAAAATAAATTATTTACTTAATAAATTAATGCATTTATATTGATTGATTAGATAACTTATTACCCTGAATTAATTTAAATGTATTCATTCAATCAAAGATTATCAATTATTTTTTAGTAACATGACTTACCTTAAATCAATTATTAAAGACAATAAATTAAGAACAAAATTTATCAAATTAGATCATACAACCAACTTATATGCTTTTTTATTGATTTTAATTAAATCTATTAGCTTACATAAAATAATATTTCAATTTACTTCTTAATAGATTTATATAAGAATTAATATTGACAAAAAGTGGATTTAAGAATTTTTACTATAAAATTAAATATATACATACATACATTTAATACAATAATATATTCATGTTTTTTTAAAAAATTATTTAAGCTTCCATATATCTATATATGTATATTCTTACATTTATACATAGATACACAAGTCACTTGCGTACAAAAAATAAATTATTTACTTCATAAATTAATTTATTTATATTGATTGATTAGATAACTTATTACCCTGAATTAATTTTAATGTATTCTTTCAATCAAAGACTATCAATTATTTCTTAGTAACATGACTTACATTAAATCAATTATTTAAAATAATAAATTAATAACAAAATTTATTAAATTAATGCATCTTACCATTATTATTATCCCAATTAATTTTTATTGATAGTAATATCAAATCAAATTTAGATAGACAAATAAAATAAAAGTATTACTAACATCTGACTCTCTGTCTGTCTATAACCTTTAATGGATGACATAAGTAATTTTAAATATGAAAATGGCATATAACAAAAAAAATAAACAACAAAAAAGTGTACTAACTAACTAAATAAATAAATAAACAATATACTTACTAAAAATTAATCAAAGTAAAAAATATTTTGTTTTCATTTTTAAGTTAATATTTTATTTTAAATAAAATGTAAATCCCTAGAAGAGACAAAGAAAGCACTTTCACATATTTGTAAATATTTATATTGAGTGTAACTATCTATCTTTTAATAAATATATACAATAAGTAATAAGGATTTGACAATTTTTTTATTCAATTAAAGGTATTTGGATAATCGTTTTTATTTAAAATAGAAGAATTTCAAAAAATCAGCTGTCAATACATTTTTTAATAGATTAATAGATGCGTTTATTTTTTTATTTAAAAAATTTGTTAACTAGTAATTCTCTATAAGCATTTAAAATTTAAAAAGAAAATTAAAATATATATAAATTTTGTGTAAATCAAGTTAAGAATAATAATATGATTTTATTCAATTCAAAAATTCAAAATCAACACTTACTTTTAGAAGAATAATTTAAAATTATTAATAGCTTAATGCCAAGAAAATAAAAGCAATTTTTTCCATATATTTATTTGCAAGCAAACAGACAAGCAAATAGCAAACAGTTTATTCTTCAATAATTTTAATGATGTTAATATAAAACTGCTTATTTTAATGCTAAACGCATATTTATTTTCAAAACCATCTTTCATATTTAAGGTAATTATTTTGAAATCATTTTTAGTTATGAATCTAGTTTTTGTTTGAAAAATTTCATTAAAACTTTCTTCAAATTTGAAATAATTTAAATAAAAAGCAAAGGATTATTGATTGATGAATGCCTATAAAAAAATTGGAAAATCACAAATAAGTCAATATTAGTAGACACAAAAACAGACAAAGAGAAAAGTTGATTTTTTTTAATTAAAAAGGCAAATAAATAATTAATTAATTTATTTGTAAATAATCACATCAAAATCAAATTAATACATTCAATCAAAGATTATCAATTATTTTCTCATAATATGATTTACCTTAAATTAACTATTTAAGAATTTATCAGTGGATCGTACCATAAATATGTTTTTTCATAATTAATTAAATTCATTAACTATAAAAAATAATATTTCTGTTTACTTCTCAATATATGTATAAAAGAAATAATATCAACAAAGAGTGGAGTTTTGAATTTACTATAAAATTAATCGCATATATACATACATACAATTTATACAATTAAATAAATATTCAAGTTTTTTTTTAGAAAAATAATTTAAGCTACCATGTATCTATGTAACAGGAGATGACAAAAATTTGAGGCAAAATGCTGATAAAAAATATTTAAGTAAACCCTAGCATGTTTGTTTTTTTGCTTGTTTGTATACTTATTCACATATTTAAGGTATATAAAGAATCTTCATAATTTTAACTAGGGTAATAATGTTGATTGAATCATAAATTAATTTTGAGTTGTCATGTTTATTCTATTTTAAATTCTGATGTAACTATCAATCAATTTATAAGTGCATAATTACATTAATAAAAAGATCGATCTTGATATATCTCAAGATTTTTTTAATAATTTAATTAAATAATACTTCTATAAATATTTTAGATTCACCTACCCGCTAAGTTTATTTTATTAAAGATTTTACCTAAAGATATTTATTTATTTACATACTTCAACCAAAAAATATCTATTTCTATTTAGTCCATATATATATTTAAATATTTTATTTAATAATTTATTTGTCTTAATGAATGACAATTAATCTTGTATAAAAAAAGTAAAAAACAAACGAAAAAAACAATATTTTATTAAATGAATATTTTACAAAAAACTACAACATCACAATCAATCAATTCTTTCAAATTTACAATATATTGCTACTAAGATTGAATTATTTTTCTTTTAGTCTAAATGAATTTGTTTGTTTATAAATAAACAACTTTTAAAATAATTTTATATTTTAACCATCAAACAAATAAATATCATAAATATAAATCTGTTAATTATAAATGACACCCATCTACTATTTTTTTTCTAAATTTTTTCTATACACTATTTTCTAAATATCAATTATTGGGAGGTACTTTTATTTAACAAACTCCAAACATTTTTTATTTAAAATAGAAGAATTTCAAAAAACCATCTGTCAATACATTTTTTAATAGATTAATAGATGCGTTTATTTTTTTATTTAAAAAATTTGTTAATTAGTAATTCTCTATAAGCATTTAAAATTTAAAAAGAAAATTATATATATAAATTTTGTATAAATCAAGTCAAGAATAATAAAATGATTTTTTTCAATTCAAACATTCAAAATAAACACTTACTTTTAGGATAATAATTTAAAATTATTAATAGCTTAATGCCAAGAAAATAAAAGCAATTTTTTCATATATTTATTTGCAAGCAAATAAAAAACAGTTTATTCTTCAATAATTTTAATGATGTTAATATAAAACTGCTTATTTTAATGCTAAACGCATATTTATTTTTAAAACCATCTTTGAAATTAAAGGCAATTTTTTTGAAATCATTTTTAGTTATGAATTAGGTTTTTGTTTGAAAAGTTTCATTAAAACTTTATTCGAATTTGAAATAATTTAAATAGAAAGCAAAGGAATATTTATTGATGAATACCTATAAAAAAATTGGAAAATCACAAATAAGTCAATATTAGTAGACACAAAACAGACAAAGAGAAAAGTTGATTTTTTTTAATTAAAAAGGCAAATAAATAATTAATTAATTTATTTGTAAATAATCACATCAAAATCAAATCAATACATTCAATCAAAGATTATCAATTATTTTCTCATTATACGACTTACCTTAAATTAACTATTTAAGAATTTATCAGTGGATCCTACCATAAATATGTTTTTTTATAGACTTTAATTAAATTCATTAACTATAAAAAAATAATATTTCTGTTTACTTCTCAATATATGTATAAAAGAAATAATGTCAACAAAGATTGGAGTTTTGAATTTACTATAAAATTAATCGCATATATACATACTTACAATTTATACAATTAAATAAATATTTAAGTTTTTTTTTTGAAAAATTATTTAAGCTACGATGTATCTATGCATGTTTTTTCTTACATTTATTCTACTCAAATTAGAAGACAGTCTTAAATTAGAATCGGCTTAAGATAGAGTATTTATTTACGGTATATTGAAAAATATTTTTTAATAATAAATTTAAAAATGAAAAGAAATATTTTCAGAGAAAATAAAATCAAAAAAGAAATATAAATAATTGAATGTACAATAATGCTTTTCAATCAAATCAGCATACACAATATATAGGTTAAAAGCTTATATAATAGAGCTAACAATTTAATAAGTATTATTAAAAATATTTTTTTTTGAATGAATTTAATTCAAACATAAAAAATCAGAAAAGGAATGTAATTAAAGATAAAACTGAGCTCAAAATTATCATTGAGTTTGAGTATAATGAAGGAGAAGGAGAAGAAGAAGGAGCTGTTGCTTAGCAACCAGATTAATCAGTTTTAGCATATTAACTAGTATTACCATTGCAAGCTAAGCAATCTGCGTCAGTCCATGTATTAGCAGTTCTACCAGAACCACAAGTTGCACTTGCAGCAACACAAGCATTTCCTAAAGTGTTAGCATACACAGCTGGGGTGTTGGTAATAGAAACACCAGGACAAGATTAACAGTAGATATCAGTAGCACCAGTAAATGTATCAACACCTTCAGGACAAGCGCTAAGCATACAAGTTCCAGGTTTTATACCAGTACCCCAAGTCATAGTCAAATGAGGAGTGACAGTAGGAGGAGTTGGGCAATTAGTAGGAGAAGCGCATCCAGAACCAAGGCAGTTAACACTACCACCACCTATTGCAAATATTTAGCTTACTAAAAGCGAAACAATTAGAAACTTTAAAATATTCATTTTACTTAAATTTTTGTTTTTATGATTTTCTTTTTTTATTAATTAATTATTATGAAAAGAGGTTGTTTGATTTAGGTATTTGAAAGGATAGATAGATAGAATAAAATTTCTTAATTTAATTTTTTTCTTCTAAAATTTAATTAAATCTATGAAGGTAGGGAATTTAATTAATTCGAACAAAACAAGTTGATAAATAATGAACATTCTAAATTATAAATAATAAATGGTCTTAATAAGGGATTGACTAATTTATTTTTTTATAAAGGAAATTAAAGAGGATTTTTTGAATTACAAAATCATGAAAATATATTTTATTTTTTATATAATTGCCCTCCTTTTTTAAATCTTAAAATATTCCATTGTGCCCTCATTTTACAAATTAAATTTGATTCATAAATACATATAAAAAAATTAAAAAAGATATTTTCTTTTTACTTTTAAAACCTAATGGCTATGTGCTGTTTAGCAGCAATAGCCATTTTTTAAAATAGCAAAGTGCTATATTATTAGATATAATTAAGTTAAGTAAGTCTACAAAAATGATTAATTAAAATTTCAATTAAAATAACTTTCTAGCAAAGCACGAGAAGACAAATTCACAAAATTTGAATAGATCTATAAATTTTTTAATCTAATATTACAAAATTTAAAAATTAAAGTTTAGCTTAATAAAGACTTAGTCATTTACATAATGTCATCAGCGCTTAAATAACATTTTGTTGAAATAAACATGAAAATATTCAAATACATACAATTCAAAAATACTCAGAAATATGAATTTAAAGTAAAGAAAATATGATTGAATTTATTTCCGTCTAATAAATTATTATTCATAGAAATATACTCACCACTAGAAATTAATAAATTAATGAATTAAAAATTTTAGGCTCTGTGAAATAAATTTAGATGTAAGCCTAAATTTCACACAAAAACAAGACTTGTATAATTAATTTTTGACAATTTTTTAGGCATGGATATATTATTAAGGATGTGACAAATTAATATCAACTATTTGTAAATGAAATTCAAATATTATTACTTTAAACATGTCATTTTATTTACGAGGCAACAGTTTATAAATTTTATACAATTATCTCTTTAAGTTACTATAATTTTACTTAGAATCTTTGAAAAAAAAATGCAATTGTTGGAGTTTTAAGTTTATTTATTAATTGATAGAAACATTAAATCATCTATAGAATTTTCTGTAAAGTCATAGGACTTTCAATATATTGATTGACTCACTAATAAACACAAACACTTATAAATCAAGGGTGATTACTCTATTTTACAATTTATAGGGTACAAAAGATTATTTTTCAATGTTTTTGTTAAAATAATAAATTTAAAAAAAAAAAATGTCTTATTCATTAAATATTTTAATATAGAATATAGTAAATAAATTAATATTTTAGAAAACAAACATTTATATTTTATGTCAAATTGAGAGGTTAGGTTCTATGTATGCAGTATAATAATATCTACTTGTAAAATCCTTACAAAAAAAAAATAAACTTTCAAAATACTCATCAGGTTATTCTAATATTTTCCTCATTTTTTTATTATCACAGTTACAGTATTCTTATGCATTGATTCTGCATAAATGATCGTTATGATCGATTAAGAGATAAGCAAAATGAGCTTTACCATATTTTTGATAATTATTTCGTACATTTTTTTGATATTTCAAGTGATAGTGAAGAAGATCATCATGCTACGAATGATCATAATTATCAAAATAGTATTTATTTTTTAAATAAGAATACGAGTCTTCTGAAAAATAAATGTTTGCAAGTCTTTGATACTTTAAAAATTAGTGTAAAACTAATTTAAACAAATGATCAATATTAAAGATATTTAAGCTAGCAATTCTGTTGTAATCACTAGATTACAATTTTTTTAAAGTATTTAAAATCTATATAGTTTACTATTATTCATATCCTATATATTCTTTACTTTTTAACTCAACACCCAAATGTAAGTAATTATTTGTATTCATCTTTAAATGCTTTCTATTTTTTAGTAAGAAATCTAATAAAGAAAAAATATTCCTTAATTTAAGCTAAATTCTTTTAAGATGTTTTATATTAGAGATAAATGGGTATTCTTCAATAAAACTTTCATAATTTTAATCAAGAGAGAATTTTGTTATATTTTATTTTTAAAAGCAAACAATTTTATTTATTTGGTCTAAAAATGTTTAATTTATTTTTTCTTCCAAACAAAATAGTTTTATTTTAATCTCTTATGTTTTGAGATATTGAATTTCATCAAAATATTTTTAAAATACTTCAGCAGGATAGTTTATGTTTTCTAAATTGATTTATATGGTATTTCTTTTATTTTTAACATCTTTCTTGTAGTTAATACTTGCTAATTTTTAGTAGTAATAATTAAAAAAACATAAATTAATTATATAGGCATTTTATTCATTGTATTTAATGTAGTCAGGTAAAATATATTCTTTGAAAAATTACAGCTTAAACTAAGAATTCAAAGTCATATTAATATTTTTATTTAACAAATCTTAATTTTTAATGACCTCTTATAATTATTTTTGGCATTTATTTTTGAATATATTTTCTGAAATAAAGCTTAAAATTGTTATTTTTTTGCCTACTTCATAACTAAAGTTGTGTCTTTATTTTATTTTTTCTGAAATATTTCTTGGCAATTAACGAATAATATCTTCATTTTTTATATCTATAAAAAACTCAACCAACTAGGCTAATTGCCTTTAATGAAATAGCACTAAAATCAAGTCGTTAATATCTTAAAAAATAAGTTTTATATGTTTTTATTTAAACATGAAAACATTAGATAATCTGCAAAGTAGCTAATTTTGCCATATTAATTCAATTTTGAATTTGTCTAAATTGTTGCTAATCATTTTTTTTAGTACTTTAATAAACTCTTTCTAATTTGAATTAACAATTACATTATATTCATTAAATAAGCTTCTTTTAATCCACACAGACGGATCAATATCAAGCTCATCTAAGCTTATTTTGCAATGACCCAAAGCTATTACCAATCTATCATTAACAAAATTAAATTATATAGATTGATCACTGTAAAATGTATTTTATAAAAATTATATAAATGATAAGATCTATTTCTTAGATTAACATTTGATTCTTAAAAATTAAATAAATAATTTCTTAATTTAACTCTGTTTTACTAAAGTTCTTTGCAAGCTCTTAAGAAAATTTCCATTCAAAAAACAATGATTAATTTTTAAGACTAATTCATGAATATTTGGAAAAATCTTATTGAGAATATTATCAAAGTCAATTTTATCTAAAATATTTTCACTTATTTCTATTTTTAAAATATTCCCTGTGGTCTTACTACACTTAGCTGACTAAGACTCTTTTTAAATCTTTTAATGGATTAAAATCCTTCATTTTATTTTCCCTGAAAGAATAAAGCTTTATTATTTTTTGAACAAAATTTTTTACCTTAATATTTATTTAGTTGTTTATTAATTAATTAATTATAAAAATTTTAGAAAAGCTAACAAGTATTTGATTGTATATCTTTAGTTAATTAGTCTAAAAGAATACTTCTAATTTATCATTTTTTTAAATTTTTTATTAATTTGAAGAAATAAACAAAAATAGACTCTTTAATTCAACTTTAAAAATTTCAAGCAACTAGTTTGAAAATATTTCATCAGAAATCAAGTGTTTAAAGACACAACATTATTAATTATTCGAGAAAATATCGAATTGTAGACACTTTAATTCAATTTAAAACAAGAAAAAATAACAAGTACAAACTTTAATTATCAAAAATCAACTATTTAAAGAAATGAAACTATTATGAATTTGAGAATATATTAAATAATAGGTTATTTAATTAAATTTAAAGGAATTCATGAAACTAGCTTAAATCTAATTTATCATAAAAAAACTGTTTATAAACATTAAATTATCAAAGATTTGAGAAAATAAATATCCAATTAGATGAATTATAAACTCTCTTGTTCATTTTAAATAAACTAAAAAACTAATTTGAAAATAATATTTTCTTTCAGTTTGAGGAAATAAATATTAAAATATAGACTCTATAATTTAATTTAAAATAATTAAAGCGTCTGTTTTAAACATAATTTTTCAGGTATTAACTTATAGAAGACATTATATTGACATAAATCAGAGGAAATATAGAAAGATAGACTCTTTAATTAAATTAAAATAATTAACCAGTTTGAGAATAATTTATCAGAAATCAACTGATAAAAGAAAGACACTATAAAAATTTGAAATAAAATAAAAAAATAAATTCCTTAGGTATTATTACTTATTATTAAAAAGAAAAAATTTGATTTAATATAATATAATAGAAGCAATATTTATTTGGTTTTAGTATTTTTTATTTAGATCCATTTATGATTTTATATTTCTTAATTTCTTATAAAGAGAATTATAACTTTTTCCTCTTTATTATTATTTTTTCTTTCCATAGTCTACTCAAATTAGAAGACCGTCTTAAATTAGAATCGGCTTAAGATAAAGTATTTATTTACGGTATATTGAAAAATATTTTTTAATAAGAAATTTAAAAATGAAAAAAAAGAATTTTATTTTCAGAGAAAATAAAATCAAAAAAGAAATATAAATAATTGAACGTACAATAATACTTTTCAATCAAATCAGCATACACAATATATAGGTTAAAAGCTTATATAATAGAGCTAACAATCAAATAAGTATTATTAAAAATTTATTTTTTTGAATGAGTTTAATTCAGACATAAAAAATCAGAAAAGGAATGTAATTAAAAATAAAACTGAGCTCAAAAATATCATTGAGTTTGATGAAGATGAAGAAGTAGGAGCTGTTGCTTAGCAACCAGATCTATCAGTCTTAGCATATTAACTAGTATTACCATTGCAAGCTAAGCAATCTGAGTTAGTCCAGGTATTAGCAGTTCTACCATTACCACAAGTTGCACCTGCAGCAACACAAGCATTTCCTGCAGTGTTAGCAAACACAGCTTGAACGCTACCGTTAGCAGTACCGGGACAAGATTGACAGAAGAGATCAGTAGCACCAGTAAATGTAGCACCACCTGTAGGACAAGTGTTAAGTGCACATTTTCCAGAGTTTACACCATTACCCCAAGTCAAAGTCATGGTAGGAGTGACAGTAGGAGGGGCTGGGCAATTAGCAGGAGAAGCACATCCAGAACCAGTGCAGGTAACATCAGCACCAGGAATAGGATTTGCTTAGCAAGCAGATCTATCAGCCTTTGCATATTGTTAAGTATTACCATAACAGGCAAGGCAATCTGAGTTAGTCCAGGTATTAGCAGCTCTACCAGCACCACAAGTTGCACCTGCAGCAACACAAGCAGTTCCTGCAACGTTAGCAAACACAGCTTGAACGCTGCCACTAGGAGTACCAGGACAAGATTGACAGAAGGGATCAGAAGCACCAGTAAATGTAGCACCACCTGTAGGACAAGTGCTAAGTGCACATTTTCCAGAGGTTACACCATTACCCCAAGTCAAAGTCATAGAAGGAGTGACAGTAGGAGGGGCTGGGCAATTAGCAGGAGAAGCACATCCAGTACCAGTGCAGGTAGCATCAGCACCAGGAATAGGATTTGCTTAGCAAGCAGATCTATCAGCCTTTGCATATTGTTAAGTATTACCATAACAGGCAAGGCAATCTGAGTTAGTCCAGGTATTAGCAGCTCTACCAGCACCACAAGTTGCACCTGCAGCAACACAAGCAGTTCCTGCAACGTTAGCAAACACAGCTTGAACGCTGCCACTAGGAGTACCAGGACAAGATTGACAGAAGGGATCAGAAGCACCAGTAAATGTAGCACCACCTGTAGGACAAGCGCTAAGTGCACATTTTCCAGAGGCTACACCATTAGCCCAAGTCATAGTCATGGTAGGAGTGACAGTAGGAGGGGCTGGGCAATTAGCAGGAGAAGCACATCCAGTACCAGTGCAGGTAGCATCAGCACCAGGAATAGGATTTGCTTAGCAAGCAGATCTATCAGCCTTTGCATATTGTTAAGTATTACCATAACAGGCAAGGCAATCTGAGTTAGTCCAGGTATTAGCAGCTCTACCAGCACCACAAGTTGCACCTGCAGCAACACAAGCAGTTCCTGCAACGTTAGCAAACACAGCTTGAACGCTGCCACTAGGAGTACCAGGACAAGATTGACAGAAGGGATCAGAAGCACCAGTAAATGTAGCACCACCTGTAGGACAAGCGCTAAGTGCACATTTTCCAGAGGCTACACCATTAGCCCAAGTCATAGTCAAAGGAGGAGTGACAGTGGGAGGGGCTGGGCAATTAGCAGGAGAAGCACATCCAGTACCAGTGCAGGTAGCATCAGCAGCTGCAAATATTTAGCTTACTAAAAGCGAAACAATTAGTAACTTTAAAATATTCATTTTACTTAAATTTTTGTTTTTATGATTTTCTTTTTTAATTAATTAATTATTATGAAAAGAGGTTGTTTGATTTAGGTATTTGAAAGGATAGATAGATAGAATAAAATTTCTTAATTTAATTTTTTTCTTCTTCTAAAATGTAATTAAATTTATGAAGGTAGGGAATTTAATTAATTCGAACAAAACAAGTTGATAAATAATGAACATTCTAAATTATAAATAATAAATGGTATAAATAAGGGATTGACTAATTAATTTATATACAATTTAAGTAGTAGTGTATGATTTTAGTTTGTAAAAGCAAGCTAATTCATTAGTAAAAATAAAAAGATAGATTTTTTATGAAAAGCATTATTTAAAGGAAATTAAAGAGGATTTTTTGATAATCATATCAATTAAATAAAAAAAATATCTTAAGTTTGTCGAGCATATTATTTATTAGTTATAAAAGACTAAATAAATAAATAACTAACAATTTTTGATTTTGATTGATACCTTACCCTATTTGATTTAAAAAAAAACATCTTTATGTATCTATTACTTTATTTTCCTAATTAACTAATTAAGTCTATTAATTTTTGTATCAAAAATAATTGAAAATT